AAAAATTATTGACATTAATGCATAAATATAAAAATATATACATGGAGCTTGAACTATACCTCTTGAATCTTGATAGCTAAAAGGATAAAGAAAAGGATTAATTATATGATCATATAATTATAGATGAAATAATATGGTTATATGACCATTATGTTTCCATGTTTTGGGTAAATTGTAGAGAAAAAATAGGGTTTTGAGATATAAAGAATGTTGAGCAAAATCTTATCTACTAAGATCTTTGCTAGATATGTTTATGCAAAATGTTTTGATCCTCAAGGTAAATATGATACTTCTATTCGAAACGAAAATAGTGTTTCCTATTTAAGTAATTACCTAACCTTACAGAATTATCGTTAATTTATAATTTAATTCATATCGAAATCGAATAAAATCGACTAATGTTGTAAACATAGTGGCTTACTATAATGCCAATTAATTGTAATGTAAAGTGTAAACACTTGACCCAAAAATCAGGGGGAAAATTAGGTTATGTTTGTTTTATTATTCAAAATATTATCTTATCCAATCATATTCAAAATATATATCTGTTTCAATATTCTCAAAATCCAATCATATTATATTCAACTCAAAACATTTAATTTTTTTTAACCCCTTAGGTTTGTTAATTTAACTTAAACATCCCCGATAATAAAAGTTTATAAATTGACAAAAACACCCTCACCCATCTACATATTCCCGAAAACCGGCCACCACCTTCAGAAGGTGGCTGGAATCTGTCGGAATGGGGCACAAATAGCCGGATATGGTTGGTTGTGCGCCGATCTGAGCGGAAAAGGCCAAATCTATGTCCAAAGATCTTGCTATTGACGGTCAGATCTGGTCGTCAACGGCCGCCAAGATATGATTGTCGTCAACGACGACCAAGATATGACTGTCGTCAACGACCAGATCTTTGGCCGAAAAAGGTCAGATCGACTTATTACCGACCTGATCCAGTCGATCATGTATCATTCCGACGACTTCTGACCACTGTCCGACGGTGGTGGCCGACTGCTAGCATTTAATGGGTGGATTAAGGTGTTTTTTTTTTTAATTATAAAACTTTTATTGTAAGGGCTATTTAGCTAAATTAACAAATATAAGGGATTAAAAATAATCTAAATATTTTTAGAAAATATTTTCCAAAAATTTACCAAACAAATTTTTAATTTCAAATTCTATTCTCGTAATAACAACTCAACTCAACTCAACTTTTTCAAAAATATTATTCTAAATACTCTACCAAATACAGCCGAATAATTTCAAGACTCCGTTTGGTTCATTATTTGATGTTTTTTAGAATAGTATTTTGAAAAAAGTAAAGTTAGGTTATTTTTACAACAAAGGTAAATATTAATATTTTGAAAGTTGAATAAGGTAGAATTAGATTTTGAAAATATTGAAACATCTGCATTTTTTTGTTTTTAGGATAGAATAGTGGAATAAGATAGGGATATAATAGTGAAACAAAGGGGAGTATTTAAGGCAGGGTCATACAAAGACAGAATCAGAAAATAATGTTTAAAAGTGTAATATTCAATGAATGAGGGAGACCCTAGTTAAACAATTTATTTAAGGAATTATATTTAAGGCACATTAAAATGAAATTTTCTTAAATAAGGGGCAACCGTTTTCATATTTTAATTTCATGTTAATTTCAATTACAGGTTTATTAATTACCATATAAGGGAGGTTACAAATTTCATGTTAATTTCAATTACATTTTTCTTTTCCAAAAAGACAACACAAAACAGTCCATATTAATAGGATTGATATATGCTTGTGAAAACAATGTTTCAAAAGATTGTTCAATGTCTTGGATAGTCTCTTTCATTTCAGAATCTATGTACCATTTTGAAAGCTACACATTGAGACATGGGAAAGATTGAAAATTAATTGACATATGGGAACCAATGAGGGACCATATATTATATGGATGTTAATCATTGTTTGATGTTATAAGTCTTTTGTTGAATAATACAGTCGCTACACTATACATATTAACCACCATCGGATGGTCGAGTAGTTAACTAGGACTTTTAAATATATTACTTAAGAAGTTATGAATTCGATTCACCTTAATTGTTAATTGGGTGGCCACTAGAGCTCTTATCTAACCGATAATTTTAAGGTCCTAAGAGATTAATTGAGGTGTACGCAAGTTAATCTGAATACTTCATGTAAAAATTAAAAAAAAAAAAGGTCTAGGCTAAGGATATATAACATGAAAAATAATACAGTTACCGAAAAAAATACACCGAATTCACGCACTGACAAACGTGGCACTATCTTGATCATCCATTAATTATGAATTTGTTTTTTAAGAAAAAAAGATGATGGCACGTATGCCGGTGTATTTTTTTGGGTAATTGTAGCATTGTTTATGTCGAAGACAAAACTGTAAGGAGTGTGTCCAACAACGGACAAGATCATTAATTGTTTTGAACATTTGCTATCTAATAATGGACATAGAGAGTAATTGAATGGATAATAAATTGCTCTAAGAGTTGACAATCTTATAGTTGTGTGTCTACTCAAATAATAAACTTAGTTGACACTCAACTTTCTCAACTACATTAATGATCAATAGTTTGAAACCACAATTTTCAGTTCAGGGGCTGAAGGCTGGAAACAATTGGGCTGGGCCCAACAATTATATCCTCCACAAAAATATATGAAATGGACCTTAAAAAGAGAACAAAGCTTAGAGCTCTCACATTTGAATTGGATGATGTATTTCCTTTTACTTAATTTATTGTCAAAATTCATGGAAGCAGGTGATTTTTCTACTAAAGCTGTTGCCCTAGGTGTCCTTTGGATTCAAATATAATGTCGATAAAGATGTCCAATGAGTTAAACCCATTTGTGATACAAAACGTTAAATATGTAATTTTATATCCTACAAATACAATGTTAAACGTTACTAAAAACCCTTTTTAAAACCATTGATTTTGAAAGTATCGAATCTTTCAGATTTTAGTATTGGTTTAAAGATAGTGCTAAAACATGTTTACTTTTAAAATGCAAAAAGGAGTGTGAAATGGGGTATTACTTTGAGATCTCATAAATTTCTAAATAATCTTGAGAAAAAGTTTCAATGCCTTGTTGTACTTTAGAGGATGAAATCTAATGCAACTTTTTTCCCACCAAACAACTTTTCCTAAATACTCTCATGGGTGTTCGGTGAATTTGAGGTTTCTTTTGTAAAATTCACTTTCTAAAAGTATTTCAAAATGCTTTCATAGTATAAATTAGTGTTTGATTTAGACAAAAAAGAAAAAAAAAATAGAGCAAAACCGATGAAAATGTGGTGAATAGTCCTAAAATGGTACAAGAAACGTCAAACGAGTATTGATTTTTACTTATACTCATACAAATACCGATGCTTATACTAATAACAAATATAATATGAATCTTGAGGCCTTTATTTCTTCAATTTCTCTCAATCTTAACTAATCGAATTGCCTTTCCTTTTGAAAGTTTTTTTATTCTCTTTTTTAAATTCGAATACCGAAAAAATATCAATAGATGTTTTTATAATTTTTTTTATAGGGATATAAAATATAACTCTATGTCAATTTTTATTATTTATTTGAAATATATTGAATCGATAAATTTTTATTATTTATTTCGTAATATTTTTTTTGTTTTTCTTTATGAGTTTATTAATATACCCTTTAACCACCATTAATTTAAAATGGACCCACCAATCTTAGAAACATTTTATTCTCTAAAATTATTAAAATCTCTTCAAAATTATATAATTAAAAAAAGGGTTAAAGTTTTAAAAATTCTTTAATAAGGGGTTTTCAATCATTTCTAAAAATCGTAGATTATTTTAAATTAATCAATTTTACAAAGAAGCAGATGACAAATTAACTAGTCAAGATCTAATCAAACGATCAAAATCAGGCTGAAAATTTAACGAATGTGAGAATTGGGACCCATATTTTCCCCTGAATGAATAAGCGAACGGCCAGGATTCCACAAATCGTCTCGAATTCGGTGATTAAAATATGAGATGGCGCCAATCACTGATCTTTCATCACTCCCAGCAATTGAAATTCCTTGGGGCTCCAAAGGGCAAAGATCATTAAATTCTGGAGGGCCACGAACAAAATTGTCGGCTGTAGAATAAGCCCAGAGAGCCACCGACGCACCGCATCAAAACCGTTGCCAGCTTAGCTTATTCAGTGAAATTGATTAAACATCTCACTCGAGACATGGTGAAGCGTGGAACACGCTCCAATGTATCTTAAATCCCTGATTCCTGACACCATGTTGGACCGACATTGATACAGCCTGGATGTAAGTACATGTGTTGTCAGGTAACTAATTATCGGCCGATTTAATTGACGTATACATAAATTAACAAAAAAAGTTGATCCTTTAATTAAAATCATTCATATATTTGAGATACCTGGATTTTTAGAAAAAAAATAAAGTTGTTTTGATTTAGAAACCAAACTCTCTCGTAAAATCAAGTATTATAAAAGATAGATATTACATGAGAACGAGATTGTCGTTCCTAATTTTGATTTTGAATTTGTTATAAAGGTTATAATTTATTTTTAAAATTGACAATCTCTCTTAAATTGACTCATGTTATGTATTAGACAATGATATATGAGGTTGGGAACGGTAATCGAGATATTCGCCGAACGAGAATGGGATCTTCATCCCTAACTCTTACTAGAATTTCTCGACAATTAAATTTATATTTATCTTTCAAAAGAATAGTAGAGGATCGATATATAAGGTATTTATATTTTATCTTTATGATCATATAAGAAAAATAAATGATTTATATGAAAGCAAATACAATATAAATACCAAATTCTTCTAATTCATAGTTGTAGAACTTCCAATTATTCAAAATAAAACAAAATCAAAAAGTTCTTTTGACAATTGTTTTTAAAAATTCCCACTAAAGATTATAGTAGGCTTAATCCTAAAATCCTACCTAACAACGAAGGAAAATAAATATATATATATAAAAAAAAAATTATAAAAAGGCGGATGATAAAGAAAAATATTTGTATTTTCTCAGCCAATCAAATTAATTATTACAATTTTTTTTCTCTCTTTTGATTGGCTAAGATTATACATTATGCAATTTAATCCAACTAATTAATCAATTAATTGAAATTTAATTAACATTAAAAACTTAGCTTTTCTTGCCCTCTTCACCACCTTCTTCTAAGTAAGCCTTCTTCCTCCTCTCCGCCGTAGCGAACAAACAAATCACAAGGAAACACGTGGCATAAACCCCATGAATCTTCCAATTCGTCTTGGGCGGTTGATGAAGCACCACCCTATGAAACACCGCCACGTAGTAATGAAGCCCAACCGCATAGCCCACAAACGTTTGGGCCAGGCCCAACATCCTCGAGCCCAGCCCACAATCGGTCGAAAACACGAGAATCAAATACATCAGAAGCAGCAATAAGTACAACACGTAGCCGAGCGTTTGAAGAACCTGTAAACACACATACGTGGACTGCGATGTAGCGTAGAAAAACTTCAGCGGCTCCAGGCCCGTGACCAGAGCCGATAGGCAAAGGATCGAGAAGTAGATTGCGAGGTAAACTTGGATGAAAATGAGGATCTTTTGGATAGAAAAATAAGCCTTGATGCGGTTGAAAATAAGAGAAACTAAAACCAGAGGGACTAAAATGAAAAGAAAAGAGCATATGGAAGCAATCGTGGAAGCGTATTTGTGACCAACAAAGGGCTTAAACCCTTTTGTGATTTCTTTGTTGTACTTGTCCAAGTAAGCTTTTGAGGTCGTTGAGATTCTCTCGAGGTCTGGCAATAAAGTCCGTTGAAATTTGGTGGGGAGGTCTCTGAATTCTGATACCAAATCGTCGTCTTCATCCTCGAGCCAACTGGGTTGTTTCTGTTTCTGTTTGGGGATTTGTTTTTCTTGTTTTGGTTTTGGTTTTGGTTTTGTTGTTTCTTTCTTTTCTAGAAGGGTTTGTGTTTGTTTTGTGGGAATTTTTGTTTTGTTTTTGAGTGGATCTGAGGTTTTCAATGGCTTTGAAGTGGGTGAGTTCAGCTTTTTGAGGTCAGATTTTGATGAATTGGTGAGAGTTGGCTTTGTGGAATTTGAAGATTTCAATTTCTGAAGCTTGATGGTTTGGTTCTTGGAAGAAATGTTAGTCTTGATGAGTTTGGTTTGGTTTTTGGGTTTTGTAGATAAGCTAGGTTTAATAAGTTTGGTTTGATTCTTGGTGGAAGATGATGAAGAAGAAGAAGAAGAAGTGCTTTTCTTTTTTGGCTTCTGGGACTGGGGCTGCTCAAATTCATCAATCTCAAACAGTGATCTTCTGCCACCAAGAAATTGCTTATTCTGAAGCTGCTGCTGCTGCTGCTGATGGAATTCATCAGAAGAGACAGACACAACAAGAATAGAAGTAGAGAAAAGAAACAAAAGAAGTACTGTTCTGAAACTGAAGAAGTACATGAAAGATGAGTTGATGATCATTTTGTGAAATCTAGGAATAGCTTTGAAGATCCAAATTAAGGATGCTTCAAAGTTAGCTAGGTAGATAGAGAGTGGCTTGGATCTAATGACTGAGGAGATTTTAAGTAAGACAGTCAGAGTGAGTGTAAGGGAGAGAGAAAGTATATTTATATATGCATATATATAAATATATAAAGAACTGTGGACAAGAACCGGAGAGTTGAAGACTTTAATGCAAAAGTAGACACTAGATGAGAGGAGTCACATGGAGCAAGTAGACATGAAATGCCTTCCCATTAACGCGGTTTTGCTTTGCAGCTCCTTGCAAGTTTTAGAACCTCCTGATTCAGTGCCAGCCTCTAATTACCTCTGGATAATAAATGTTTAAATTTACAAGGTAGAAAGGCTCGAGGCCATGGCCATCCTTTCTTTTTAAGTTAACATAAATTTTGTTACCAAGTTTTTACCCATTTTATTGTATTTTGGATGTATGACATGATAAAAACTCTTAGGTATCTTATTCAAGAGATTTTAAATTTAAGTTTATTTTTGAGTGTTAACAGGAATAATAATTAGAGTTTTTATCTAATCGATAATTTCAGAATTCTAAGAGATTAGTTTAAGTATGTGTGAGCTAGCCCGAGGACCTCTGGTCATAAAAATAAAAAACAAACAAAACAAAATAAAAATAAAAGGTGTTTTAGATGGTTGAGGTTCAAGGTTGAAAATAAGTTTTCGGTTTACTAGAGTGGCAACAAAATGTGTAGGTGTGCATCAAGAAATCATGTCTTGTTAACCACTAGCATTGTGACCATCTAGGTGGCAACAAAATGTTGGAGTCTCACAAAGTAGTCACTTACCATATTTATGACTTATCTGATCCATTGAGTTTGTAAAGTGTTCAATGAATTTTGGAGATTAGTTTATGTGTGCGCAAGTTGACACAGGCACCACGGTAATAAAAAAAAAAAAATATATATATATATATATATATTTTGTTTATGTAATTGTCGACATGATTTAATTCGTCGTGTAGGCATTCGAGATGGAAGGTTGAAAATTGTTTTTCTATAAATTAGAGTCAGAAAAGCGGTTTTCAAACTATACTTTTCTTGATCTATACTTTCTGTATACATTTTACATATGCGCTTACAAGTTTCATGATAAACTATATATATTACCAGAAAAAAATGTTTGATGAGATGAACATTTCAAGTTATGATACTAGTATGTTAACACATATCTCTATATATATATATTGTATTTTAAAGGTATTAATATTTCCAAGTTGGGTTAAAATAAGAAATTAGATGGGGTTTGAAGATGACTTAAGTGGGCATTCATATATTATATGCAACTTTACCCAACTTGCATTATTTTCACAAAATTAAAAAGTGGTACAACTTTTGTCATCACAAAGTCAAAATTCCACCTTACCCAAATGCCAATTGTTCACTAACTTTAATAATCTTGAAATCAAACTTGTGTTTAAAGTATTATCTTTGAATGTTTGAACAAATAGTATTACTTCAGAGAGGAAAGATAATTAATTTTTTAATGTTTTGGGTGTGAAAACGTTCATCCAATGTTTACTATTTATCTCAACACATGTGATCTGTATTTACCAGATTAATAAACAAATATATATATAAACGAAACACCATAAGTAAAAACCTATTACTTTAAAATCTTTAGTAAGACAGAACGTATACATTATACCCGTCTTGTAGAAGATTTTTCTGATCAAATTATCTACAAAAATCCAAAACCTAATAAATAATAAAGAATGGAAGGAAGAAGATTTGTTTAATGTTTTGGGTGTAAAAATGTTCATCCAATGTTTACTATTTATCTCAACACATGTGATCTGTATATACCCGACTAATAAACAAATGTATATATAACCTAAAAACCCATAAGTAAAAACATATTACTTTAAAGTCTTTAGTAAAACGAATGTATGCATTGCACCCGTCTCATAGAAGATTTTTCTAATCAAATTATTTACAAAAATCCAAACCCTAATAAGTAATAAAGAATGGAAAATGTTTTGTGTGTAAAAACGTTCATCAAATGTTTACCATTTATCTCAATGCATAAGATTTATATAAACTAGATTAATAAACAAATTACATGTATAATCGAAAACCCATAAATAAAAATCTATTACTTTAAAGTTTTTAGTAAGATGAATATATACATTACACCCGTCTCGTTGAAGATTTATCAAATCAAATTATCTACAAAAATCCAAACCCTAGTAAAGAATGGAAGGATGTAGATTTTTTTGCATTTAACAAGCACTTTGATTCAGTAAGTGTTGGTGATATGACAAGACTTAGATCGTGATCTAAATAATACAAAGCAAATGAGACGGTGGAGACCGATAGTTGAATTAGTTGACTTATGTACGCTAATTAATTAATTGATTAATTTTTTTAATTAAATATCTTGCTTTCTCATTTTGGAATTTATTAAAAATATCATTTTGGTAGGTCCAAAACCACCTTAATCCAGCATTTCCCCCATGTTTTAAGATGGGAATCCTAAAAAATGGGTCCTATTTGATCAAGCAATTTCAACCTTTTGATCAAGTGGGTCCTTGATATTTTTGTTTTACATTTGATTTATATATTTGGATATTAAAGAGGATTGAATGAGATTCCAAATTGATCCACAACCACAGGACAATGAGAGAAAGAGGATTAAATTTTGTCTTTTTCCTTTAACGTAAAGTTTCGTGATTCATCTTATAATTTCGAGCCACAAATAATTAAAAAGCTTGAAAATGAAATTTGATTTGATTTATATCAACCTTAAAACGAAAGCTTAATCACTTTCACCAAACCTAATTATACAGCTAAGTAATGACTAATTGCTAATTCAATAATGTTCGTGAATTGAATGATCAATCCTAAAATTAGATCGACATTCGAAATAACAATTTATAACCAATTTAGTTGGACTTATCCATTACTCATAAAAGTTTATTTAAAATTGTTATACCTAAAAAGTCACGTTGATGTCAGCTCAACAAATGTCTAAAAGACAAATTATACTTCATGTTAAACCTATACCGCCTCAAAGATATCTTATACTAACCTTATTTTCTTTTAAGAAAAGAACGGATGAGAGCTTTTCATGTGTCAAGACAACTTGTAAAACACTCATTACATTGACCTTAAACGTAGATAAATTGACACTTCTCTTCACGGAAAGAGGGGTTGGGTATATGAGAGTTAGACATAGATTTGAGTTTCATTCTTTCTCTCTGAAAGCAAAGTATTTCTTCATCTTTGTATGTCTTACGGATAATATCATAGAAATAGTCAAAGAATAATAAAATAATAGTGGATGTAGAACTTGCTTTAAGCATCAGAACCACTATAAAAATCTCTCTTTTCAGTCTATTATTTATGTTTTCTGCAATATATATAATCTCAACACCATATTCAAATCTCACGGATCTATCACGTGTAATTTCTAAGACTCTCTTAATATTTTATATGTGCGAGTTATTGATGTCCAAAATCAAGCACCAACGAAAATAATAAGTGCTTTTAAACCGTACTAACTAGATCCTTAATAACATAATCATATCGATGATTAAATATTATTAATGGGTTTTCTTTTATTGTGATTTTTGTTATGGGATGCATGTGGAGTTGTTGGGATTTTTTATTATAAAAATTTAAACTGATAAATTCATATTAATATCTTCAAATTCTATTTTTCAGATTTTTATAAAAAGAAGACGAACGACGTCGCGCTCTCTCTTTACATTTATAATTATTCAAACCTACAAAAGAAATATGAAAAGGACTTATAATTTAATGTCCCTTTGTCTTTACGTTCCGATTATTAATAAGTTTGTTTGAGTGTAAGTTTCAATCATATTCACAAGGTACAAGTTTATATGCCATGTTTAATGAATTCCACATGGTAAGCGTATTAGAGAGATTTTAGGTTTATAAATGAAGGAAAGTTTCTCCATTTAATATATTAATCTTTTGAGTATAAAACTTCTAATATGTGACAAGTGGTATCAGAGCAGTCCTAATTTGTCTTTCGATGTCCCACCAAATACTCACACAGAGGCATCCACGTGTGATTGTTGATTCACACAAGAGTGAGGTGAATGGATAGATAAAGGGTTCCACCTGTGATGAGGGCATCACAGGATTGGGTGAGAGAGAATGTAACAAATTCCACATTGAAAACGCATTAAGGAGTTCCTAGGTTTATAAATGGAGAGAGTCTCTCTATCTAATAGATTAGTCTTTTGGGTATAAAACTCTCAACTCGTGACACATGGTTACCAAGTACTTGAAGCCAAGCTGTGACTCACTTAAAAGTAAAACTATAATTTCTGCTTTCATTTCATATTACATAGTCTACCCACAATCTGAAAATGTTTTTAAAAAGCAGAACAAGTGTTGCAAGATGGTTTCCTTTACAGGGAACCCAACATCTGAAGAATCTACGATACCATAGGAATATCACGTCATTTATATTATTAATTAATATGTATTTATCATATAATTTTTCATTTTAATAACTAAAAGCTTGAGACTCAAGCTCAAAAGTCAAGAGCATGCACAATCACAGTATAATTCACTCCCAAAAATTAGTTCAAGAAGAAAAAATCTAATCAGAGGCAAACCCAAGAATGAAACTTAGGGTCACTTAACTCCACGTGGGTCTACCCTTGAGTCCAACCATATATATATACATTATAATAGTCTATCAAATTAACAATATAAGATAAATATAATTATTAACATTAACAATAAAAATTAAATAAAAATTCACAATTAGTCATAATTCATAAATGTAATGGTTGGTGATACACATAACATAACAGTGTTGACGTATTTTGGATTTTTTTCGCGATGTTAATAGATCAAAATGTGGCCCCTCTTTCCACTGAATCTTATTGGGAATTTATCAAATGTCATTGTCTTCCCCAATAATACCCATGCAAATAATTGTACGAATGGATATGAAAGAATATATATTATAGTTTTACATTAATAAAATACCCAACTTGCATTCTCTTTTTTCTTTTCTTCTTTTTAATTTATTTTATATTAAGTTTAAAGGGTTTTTAAATTATACATAAAAAAAAAAGCACAAATAATGCTAACTTGACTTAAATTCATATAAAATATTGGTTAAATTAAACGGCATTATTGCTTAATTTTGAGTTCATAATAGATAATATTAATTTTCAAAAAACGTTCTATAAAAAAGTTACACATAAGAAAAGAATTCATCGTATATTCATAATTTTGAATAAAGTTTATTAGATAAAGTAAAATCTTGCATAAGTTTAATACAGTAGTTATCATTAAACATAATTAACAATAAGGATATTGGTTTGTTCATGTCTCAATTACAGGAATTATAGCCTTGGTATGAAATATATAATTAAGGCTTAATAAATATGAATATTGAAGTAATTATGTTCTGAAAATAATTTTATTAATAAATTGCGGGAAAAAGCAGCAGAAAAGCATGTTCTATTATTAAATTGAATGAAAATTAAAGAAGGGACACATTAATGGACAATAAATTTAAAGTGCTACTTACAGCTTTCATGTTACTTGCAGTAAGTTATATTTTATTTAATAAATATTGCCATTAAAATAACAAGTAGAAAGTGCTTCTGCAAAAGGCACTTTTGGAAAAATCCAAAAGTTGTGGGGTGAGAGAGGCTCGAACTCTCGACCTCAGGATCACTCTAAGCTATGAGACCTACGCGCTAGCCAACTGCGCCACCACCCCTTGATGTTTTTATGTTCATTTTTATTTAATATATCTTAAGTGATCCATATGAAGGTAATTATATCCCAACCCCCTTAGACGGTGAAATATTAATGTGCACGATTTTATAAAAGTATGATTTTTAATTTTTTTTTTTTAAGAGTAAACCACTCTTTCCCACCCAAGGTTTGCCTTAATGACACTTTTCCACCCAAAAAGTTTCAAAATACCACTTTTCCACCCAAAGTTTATATTCCGTTTATATCTAAAATATACTTTAATTTCTCAATTAGCGTTCAGTGAGTTATTAGGAGCTAGAGTCAGAGGGGTTTTGTAGAGTAGAGGCCGATGGATCGAATGGTTGTGACCGATTGATATTCATCGCTGGAATCAACCAAAAATCAGTTAAGAACAAAAAACCCTAACTTTGCAGTGGCCGATGATCAGCGAAAAATCAAGTATTAGTGTAAGAAGGGTTTTATAAAAAGGAGACCGGAGGTTCAAATGGTGGTAACGGGGAGAATTTTTGCCACCAAAATTGGTTAAAATCGTTTTTGAGTAGTAACAAAATATAAACTTTGGGTGAAAAAATGGTATTTTGAAACTTTTTGGGTGGGAATGTATTTAAGGAAAACATTGGGTGGCAAAATTATTTGCTCTTTTTTAAAGGGGTAAACGTAATCTGGATGGGTATACAATATACTTTCCAGTTTCCAAAATGGTGGGAGCGATTTATATTTCACTAACTCTCTAAGGCTTGCATAAAATAACACTCCAAACATCTTTATTAAAGATGAAGAATCTGATGAGAAGACATTTTCTTTTGTCCACAAAATACAAGAGCTCATAAACCAAAAAGAAGTCTTTATTAACTCTCTTTGATATGTTCATTAAACAAAAGTTTTAAGTAACTTTGTTGCGCTTAATCGTGATCGATCGGACGCACACAAAAATCTTAATGTTTACAATGGACTTTATCAGTAGATGCAGCCTCCCATTTTACATCATCTCAAGTCTTCAGACTTCTGTACAGCTTTTGCATGAATAAATAGCTGAAGATCATGTCACTCTCCTCAGGCCCCATAAAATTATACAGCTTTTGAATGAATAAATAGCTGAAGATCATATGCGGATCTCCCTTGATCATAAACTTGAAATGACCCTGTATAAGAATCTATAAATTTTACAAAAATAGTGGCGTTGTCGATGTTTCTACCACAATGTTCATATTTCATGTGTGGGAAAGCAAGTACTTCTCATCATTATCATGTAAATCATTCGTCTCCTCCCTTCCATGCTCTATGTCAGTTTTGCTTCCTTTCTTCCCATTAGTCGTTTTCGACTCTGAAACATCAAGTTGAGAGTGTTTCTCCATTGAAGGAGAACGATCTGCTTCCAACTGTTGCATTTCTGATTCTATCAAGGCGTGCATCCTCGCGCGCTCACGGTCTCTCGGGTATGTGCAGTAAAGAAAGGAGTAAATGAAGCAACAAAGTGTCATTGGAATGCCAACTGCTGTGTAGAGTGCCTTGGCAAGTGATGTAGCATTATGCCTGTCTGTTTCAATCTCTATTGAATCTGAAGCTCCCTTGGGAACTGGTTTGTAGCCATAAACATGTTGAGCTAAAATTCCAACTATAGGAGGAGCAAAAGATGACAGTATGGACTCGAAAGATCGATCCAACGCGTAGATGCTCGTTCGCGATTTCTCAGGAACTATCTCTGCAAAGATTGGACTGTATGCACTCAAATTAGTCATAGAACAAATGGGATTAAATTAGTAATAACAAAAAGGATTGAGGATACATACTTGTTCGTCGCGGGTGCGTTCCAGGATATGCATAATCCCATGATGAAAAAGACTAGGCCATGAATGAATGCTGAGGATGGATCATCAGGCAATGCCAGAAGCAATATTGCTGCAATAGGAATGGCTGAACCAGAACTAATCTGTGACAGAACGATCCTCCCAGAATTCGGAAATCGTTTCGCTAGAACGTCCCCGAGTTTTCCTCCAAATAGGCCCCCAATAGAGCAAGCAACCACAAACAAAGTCATGAGGCATGCAGTTAAGTTGTGGGAGAAGCCAATGAGCTCTAACCACATTGGAGCAAATGATAAAGCTGACCAAGGGAATGATCCAGACACACCTTGAGCTACAATAATTTGAAAAGATGGGATTTTGATGACCATTTTAGCTTCTTTGATCAGGTCCTTCATTTCTGAGACAAAAGACTTTTCTGATATCTGATCTTTAGCTCTACTTTCGCTTTCCAGGTGGCGTGGATCATTGGCGAAAAGGCGAACCAAAATGCCAACTATGACACTAATTAGGCCAACCAGATGAAATGCAATTCTCCAACCAGGTATCCCCATGAATGATGTTGAGGCTATTAGAACTGAAAAGAGCCCGCCGATGATGGAACCGATGTTCCCGGTCAGCTGCAGCCATCCAAAAGCCATGCCACGGTTGCTGTCATCAGTTGAATCAGCAACAAGGGACTGAATTGCAGGTGTGACAATAGCAAGTCCAATTCCATTTAAGCCTCTTGAGACTGCCACCTAATGAACCAAATGAGAGGACCAAAGATGAAAATGTGCAGCCAATCAGGCTTATGAACACAGATTTTGCGTCACAAATGGGGCTCTCAAATCACTAGTAAAAGAAGCAGCTCTAAAACAAGTAAAAAAATCAAATTAATTCATAAGATCATAGTAAACCAAGGAAGAATTTCACAAACCAAACAATGAAGTTTAAACAAATGTCACGCTACCCCTCGTAAAATAAAAATTTCCAAAATAAACCCCCAACCAGCAGCCGGGTCCTTTACGATAATAGTTCAAACCTCACAATGGTTTCTAAAATTCTCCCATAAACAAGAAAACCAAGTCAACTTAACTGAAAAATCTAGATCTACCAATCTACATAGCCACCAAAAAAATAATAATTAAAAAACACAAACAAAACATTGAAAACACTTCAGAAAAACAGAACCAAATCTTGAAACACAAAGTTGAGAAGATAGATAGATAAATTTTACACATACCTGAAAGAAAGTACTTGAAATGGCGACAAGAAATGTGGCTGCAGCCCAGAGAAAAGCTCCAAGAGAAATGACATGAGCTCGATTATGTCTGGTGGCTAAGTAAGCAGCCAAAGGGTAACAAGAAGACTGCACAATTGATCTAAACAAAGTGAGTGAACCTAAGCCAGTGGGGTCTGTATGCAAAGCGGCACCTACTTCTTTGTACACTCCCGGTAACAATGACTCGTCGGCTCTTTCCATTATGCCGGCGAGATTCACTAGAATCAACGTTAAAGTCTCCGATTTCATTGTGTTTTTTTGTGGAATAAAAACAGAGAAAAATGAGGAAGCAGAGGATTCTCTGTTTTCTGATGCTCTGTTTTGACTTGGAAGGTAGAAGACTTTGAGGTTTATTATGGAGGGAACCAATTGGAAGGCGACACGTGGTGAGATGGGATTGGTGGAGAAGAGTGGAAGTTGAGTTCTGGTTAAGACATTAAAAAGAAAAAAGAAAAAAGAAAAAGGAGAAGATTTTGTTTTGTCTTAAACTTGTTTTTTTTTTTTAAAGGAAGGAATGTGATTAATTAGCTTATGCATCAATTTAGGGGAAAGTAATTTCCAACAAATATTTGTGTTTATTTTTACTTTTAAAAATAAACTCGAATGTTATGACCTAAAGTCTCGCATTGCTCCCACATTAGGATAATCGAATGTTTAAGTAAGGTTAATAGACTTATACTCAATAGACGTGTTTTAAGCTTGAAACCCAATAATAAAACCGCGAGGTCTTATAATGTCAAACTAGATATTTAGAGAATATTAGAAAGCATTTTCAAATATTGAAAATATCAAAATCTGAATTATTTTCATTTTCAAATTCATTTTTTGAATGTGACACCAAGTTGCAACTAAAATATGTGAATCGCAAGGTGTGTATAAATTTTATAAAGTATTTTGTATATTCAAGATAAAGATTCTCTTTCTTCTTCCATAATTTATTAGCAAATCCTATTTTATATTATTATAATCATGTTTTGGATCTTCGTATCGTATTATAAACAAATGCAACTTGGATATAAATATCCAAAAGAATCCCTTCTTTTAGAAACAAATAAAAAAGAAAAATCATAGACATGGGAGATTGAACTCCACAAAGTAGTTATTATTTACAAAGTATGAAGAAGCCATAACCAGGATAAGTTTCCAGTTTCTATTATTAGACATAAATGGTCAAAACTTCTTATTTGAGAGGATTACATAAGAAAAAAAAAACTAATTCATAAGGATAATATTGTTTGTTTCTACTGCATAATAAACCATAAGCAAAATAATAAATTCTTAAGAAATAACAGTAGTAGTAGTACAAGCTAAGATGTTCATATTGACGAAAGAAATACTACGTCCAACAGAATCAATATTATTGAAATACTATCTCACCTCTCTCGTTACAATGAATGTAGTTTACCCTATAATTTGCTATCACATTTATACAGAGAAAAAAATAAGTTCATAGACTGGGTTTATGACTTAGAGAAATCCTTCACCAGGACTCCTGAATGCATCTGTGTGACCGTTATTGTTGAAGTGGTCAACAACTCCAATAGAGACGCAAAAGCAATTTTGCAGGCATTTATAGGAAGATGCTGTGGAAGATATCAGCAGGAATATGTTAATGTAGAGCTTCTGGTTCAAGAAAGAACTTCTGCAGTTTGTAAGCTCCATTAATTTTATCAAATCCTGCAAAGATCAAATTGAGCAAATAGTATGCGGTTTATATAAACACGAAAATTCTTGAATTGAGTTAAAGTAGCAAGAAAAATTGTAAAGCTCAAAAAGATCTGTATCTGATTTCAGAGATTCTTCTTGACTAATGCTGCACATTCCAAGTCATATCCTGAAATTATCATGCAATAAGTAGGGAAATTTTCATGTGAGTTAAGTTTATCATTGCGGATCTTTTAAAAAAAAGAAAGAGCTTAGTTTGAAGAACGAATTTTTCAACTACATATGTGGCATATGATTGTTTTGAAGTCAGATGATGGACTTACCAGAAATGAAGATGAGTAATGCTCCAATTACCGATGAGTGTGCACCGAATTTGTGCACCGAATGACGTGACTAAATCTTGACCGTTGATTTATTATTAGTTAATAGTAATTAACGGTCAGGATTTTGCCACGTCATTCGGTGTAAACTTTTCAGTAACTCTATCATTTTCCAATGAAGATTATATCATATTTTGGGAAGGGGATCTTCCTTCACAGCTTATAGTTTGTTCTCAATTCGGCTCTATGGCCATAAATTAGTAACCTGCAGACAAAATGAAATACCACAACAAAGTAATCAGAAACAAAATCATATAAATGTTTGAAATGTACTTGTTCTCAGCCAAAAACGTAAGTTTATATGATAAGTTATCTGTAGAATCTACTCGAAATCTGGAAAACAAATCTGCATAACTGATACTTGGGTACAAATTGTATTATTAAGTAAATAAATGAACAAGACAAGAACAAACTAGTCAACCTCCTCATGCCTGGGAAATATATACAGCTTGAGGGGAACTAAATTATAAATGAAGTTAAGAAAAATCGTGTTGCGAAGTATTTCCATCGTTTATGTAGGTTCAATCAGATAGTCCAGCTTTTCTAGATATGTTAATCAGTTTTGTAAATCTCATGACAATGTTATAGTTGATGGGAAAGAAGAGAATTCTCATCATTGTCATCTAAATCAGGGCTCTCCTCGCCTCCATGCTTGATGTCGATTCTGCTTTCTTTATTTTTATTCATCATTTTCGGTTCTGAAACATGAAGTTGAGTTGATGGAGAATAATCTGCTTCCAAGTTTGGCATTTCTGATTCTATTAAGGCATCCATCTTTGCGCGCTCACGGTCTTCAGGGTATGTGCAATAAAGAAAGGAGTAAATGAAGCAACAAATTGTCATTGGAATTCCAACTGCTGTGTAGATTGCCTTGGCAAGTGATGTAGCATTCTCCCTGCCTGTTTCAATCTCTACTGAATCTGGTGCTCCCTCGGGAATTGGTTTATAACCATAAACATGCTGAGCCAAAATCCCAACAACGAATGGAGCAAAATTTGATAGTATATCCTCAAATGTTGAATCCAACGCATAGATGCTTGTTCGCGATCTCTCAGGAACTATCTCTGCAAATATTGGACTGTTTGCAACATTAGGATATTATTGAATTCAAGTTATAGATCTGTAAAACGTAGTCCAAGAACACTAGGAACAACAAAGTGGATTAAGAATACATACTTGTTTGTCGCAGGAACATTCCAGGAAATGAAAAATCCCATGATGAAGAAAAACAGACCATGCACAAATGCTGAGGATGGATAGTCCGGCAAAGCCAAAAGCAAAATTGCTGCTATAGGAATGGCTGAGCCGGAACTAATCTGAGACAAAACTATCCTCCCAGAATTAGGAAATCGTTTCGCAAGAATATCCCCCATCTTTCCTCCAAACAGACCCCCAAGAGAACAACCAATTACAAATAAGGTCGTGATGAATGCAGTTAATTTGTGGGAGAAACCAATGAGTTCTAACCACATAGCGGCAAATGATAAAGCTGAGCCTGGAATTGTTCCAGAGATACCTTGAGCCACAATTATTTGGAAAGATGGGATTTTAATAACCATATTTGCCTCTTTGATTAGGTACTTCATGTCTGATGAAAAAGACTTGCGTGCTTTTTTATCTTTACCTTTACTATCAGCTTCAAATTCGCGAGGATCATTAGCGAAGATGCGAACCAGAATACCAACTAGAACACTTATTAGTCCAACCAGATGGAATGCAATTCTCCAACCGGGTATACCCAAGAATGATGTTGAGGCTATTAGTACTGAAAACATTCCACCGATGATGGAACCAACGTATCCAGTGAGTTGCAGCCATCCAAAAGCAATGCCGCGATTGCTCTCATCAGTTGAATCTGCAACAAGGGAATGAATGGCAGGTATGACAATAGCAAGTCCAATTCCATTTAAGCCTCTTGAGACCGCCACCTAAAAAACCAAATGAGAGGACTAAATATTACACTATGCAAAACTTCAAATACATTACATTACGCAAAAATTTGTAGCTGGATGGCAAACCTTTAGCCACTGGGGTTAGCTAAACCCAAGGGTCTTGTATTTGATTTGCGGGAAAAAAAAACTTCAAATACAATAAACAATAAGACTATGAAAGACTCTTTTTCTTCGAATTATCAGTCAAAGAAGCAGAAGGAACAAGTTAATAAGGCAGCAGGGTTGTAAAATTCTTCTCCAAAACAAATTTAACCATATTTAAGGAACATGAAGATATGCATTCAAGCTCGCAATTGCTTGCATACAATCATTTGAGCGGCTTTGCAACCCCAATGAAGACAAATTTTTGCCTCAAATTCTCACAGGAGTGGTACAGAAACTAAAATTAAATCAGTTGCTAACTTCATGGGATCAGCAAATGCATTTGAATATTCATCCAGAAAACGAAAAATCTCAAGTTCCAATATGAAATTACGAATCATAAAGTTACGAAATTATGAATCAATTTTCATTAAAGCAACAATATTCCATGCCCATTTTAGCACCCAAATTCAAACGAGCTAGAGCAGCTGGTTGACACTCCCAAGTATGCAAAATAAAAAAAATTAAATAACCCATTTTGGCAACCATGGAAATAGCCAAAAAACATAAACTAAAAAATCACATTAAATCAAAATCAAAACCAAAACCAAATTTTGCAACTTGAAACGCGATAGATTGAAAAATTACAGATACCCACCTGAAAGAAAGTATTTGAAATGGCGACAAGAAAGGTGGCTGCCGCCCAAAGAAAAGCTCCGAGAGCGATGACATGAGCTCGGTTATGTCTGCAAGCTAAGAAAGCAGCCAGAGGGTAACAAAGAGACTGTACGATTGATCGAAACAGAGTAAGGGAGCCTAAGCCAGTAGGATCTATATGCAAAGCGGCACCAACTTCTTTGTACACTCCCGGTAATAATGACTCGTCAGCCCTCTCCATTATGGCTGCGAGATTCACCAGCATCAATGTTACAGTCTCTGACTTCATTGTGTTTGCTCTGTTTTTTTTGGAGGAAGATTCCTCCGTTTTTAGTACAATGAAAAAGAGAGGAAATGTTGGAAGTTTGACTTGTGATTAAGACAGGGAAATGAATTTTCTTTTTCTTAAAATTTCCTTTTTTAGAAGGAAAGTATCTTTTAAATTATGCAACTATTTTGGGATTTTTTTTTTAATATTTATTTATTTATGGGTTGTATTTCCATGTACCGAAAGGAAGTGTCTTGATTTTGTTATTTTGAGCAGGATGTTTGAAATAATATTATTGAGTTGAGTTAGGTTATTATTACGAGAATAAAATTTGAATAAAATGTATTGGGTAGAGTATTACATCAATATTGTGTCAAAGGGGTATTCTTGAAATAGTATAGAAAATAGTATTTGAAATAGTAAAAACACACTCTAAAATATTTATTTATTTTGATGAATATTATGTATAAAATGACAAAATCATCTATATTTGAAACGACATGTCGTTTATACATGAGAACAGGCGTGTCGTTTACCTTCTACAGACATGTCATTTATGTGATGAATATCAATGTGACCCCTGAGTTTTGAAGTATAACAGATAACCCCCTATGTGTGTCAATTTGATTGGAGGTAAGTAATATTTACCCTCTACAGAATTTTAAATTCGTTTCTAGAACGACATATCGTTTATCTCAACCCATGATATAACAACATGTAAGTAAAAAAAATGTTATACCTGAAAAAGTAGGGTTGACATGGGACCTTGTCAATAAAGGATGGTCAGAGTTCAGAAGGGTTTTGTGCCATGCATGTGCGGCCAAGTCACGCCTAACCTAAGTGGTATGGCTCCTATTAGTGCAGCAAGTGAGTGCCAGACCAGCAAGCAGCTGGAGATCGCCCACGTGTCAAAGCCCTGCTTTAGTCGAGGAAATCCCTCGGGCAGGTGACCAATGGGACGCAAAGAAAGGATTTGCATGGTACCTACCCACTTGCAACTTTTATAATCATTACCTTGAACTCTTCCACTATAAATAGAGGACTTTCCTCTCATTTGTAGGGGCTTAGCAAATTTTACTCTGAAATCTCTCTCTCTCTCTCTCTCTTATATTCTTTCCCTAAACTGTAACTCAGCTCGCTGAATGTGACCTGACCTCTCTCTTCTATTAATATAATAGCAGTGGACGTAGGATTCGCTTTTGAGCATCCGAACCACTTTAAATATTGCTCTTCACCTTTTATTTAATTCAATCCCCTCATATCACGTGTGACTTCTAAGTCTTTCTAGCATTTTACACTTGCAAGTAGTTGGTGTCAAAATCATACATCAACAATTTGGCGCTAAAAGGAGGGCCTGATTTAGTACTTACTCTTCATCAGAAAAATCTTTGACTAATCGGTCCCACAACAACAAATAGCTCGGGGTTTTGAATCTGAGCGAACCAATTATGGTAATGAAGAAATCCCCCAGGTACAGGAGGACACTTCTCTCGAAATGTCACCAGTCCAGCAGAATATCATGGGGGATATTCCTTCAAGCTCGTGGCTCGACCCAGCTGTCATCAGTTACCTAGACAGGTTCAATAATACTCTTCAAACAGTCAGCCAAAGGTTAGACCGATTGGATCGGGTTGTGTCACCCGAATCCAATGAGGCGGTGCCACCGCCAAAAACACTTACAAGTCACGTGAAAGCACGGAAAAGGGCGAAAGCCCATACCACGCACACTGCAGCGCATCAGAGAAAAGGGAAAGCAAGTGACGCACAACGAACCCAAAGGCTCCGAGGGACTAGCGAACACTGATCGTGCCCAGGGTAGAATACCTGTGGCATTGCGACTCGGCTATATGTCGCAGCATGAGCCGTTCTGTGCCACGTCGCATGGGCACTCCTATAAAAGTGCAAGGCGAGGAGATTCCCAATATCATCAAAATGACGACTTTGATCGTCATCATGCAGGGGATTCCCATCATCCACGGGTAGGTTTGTACCACTGCAGAGGCGGGAAGACTTCCTTAATCGCTCAATGCCATCACACAACTCCTGCCAGCGTGTGTCGAGATTGGTTGGAGCTTTTGGCCAAGGTGAGGAAAAGTCTGATTTGCGGTCTTTCCTCAACCGCAACCATGAGAGTCGAACCCATGTTGTGGAAAGTGATCCCTAGGTAGTTGAGCTGCCTCAGATTAAAGAACTACAGCAAGCTCTGGATCAGTTAAGGCTCAACAGAATGAGCAAGGGTAGGTCGAAGAGGCGTCTCCTTTTTTTCGGGCAGTGTTAGCTACCCCTCTCCCATCAAGATTCAGAATGCCCAATATGCAAGCATTTGATGGGAATTCTGATCCACAGGATCATTTATACAAGTTCAACGACCTCATGGAACTCCTCCAAGTCTCTGACTTGGCAAAATGTCGTTGGTTGGCAGTAACCCTTACCACCCACGCCAAGCGTTGGTTCAGGTCGCTTCCAGCAGGATCGATCGGCTCATGGCCTCAAATGAGCTTAACATTTCTGAGGCACTTCCAGGCGAACAGGAAGTTCTCAATGTCGCTAAGCTACTTGAGCAATATACGACAGGAAAGGGATGAACCCCTCCAATCTTATGTAGACAGGTTCCACAGAGAGCTCCACAAAGTAGGTCATACTCTCGAAGAGTTTGTTCGGACTCTCATCATTGTGAGAGTTCACTCTCAGACAAACTTGTGGAAGAAACTACAATCTAAGGATAATGTTTCCCTCACTCGCTTCTACAACCTTACTGAAAAGTACCTCCAGATTGAAAGTAGCAGCTCTTAATTGCCACGACCCCGGTCCTTCGGGCAGTGCTCCCAACCGAGGGGAGAATAGGAGGGCTGATCGCAGATGGGCTAATGATGATCAACGGAAAAAAAAGAAGCAGCGGTATGAGCCCAAGAAATCTTATGCCCCAGTTCCTTGTCGCGATTGCGACAAGAGTCAATACACTCCTTTGAATGCCTCAGTATCGGCTATTCTAGATAAATCAAAGGAGGCCGATTTTCTCAGAGAGACCGAGCCCATGAAAAATGCCCCTTCAGCCAAAAACAATAAAAAATATTGTCGCTATCATCGGGATAATGAGCATCACGCCGATGAGTGTCGAGCCTTCAAGCAGGCAATTGAGGACCTCATTAAATATGGGCACTTTAAAGAGTATGTTGATGACTCAGCTCCCGTTCAGGGAAAAAATCAAGAGAAACCACGGAAGATGCGTCATGGTCGCAAAGGTCTCTACTATGTGAGGATCATCTTTGGAGGACCACACCTTGCGGGGAATTCTCTGTAATAGCCACTACTACTCAAACACTTATAATGAAATACATATAAAATAATATAAAGAAATTGGGCCCAAAATTTTCTTTTATTAAACATATATACATATTCTTTACAAACATATACATTTTACACAAAATGTATAACATATACGAAAGTCATCAAAAACATAAAGGACAGTGTAACCACTCCTTCTCGAACGCTGACATCCATCCGACAGTGTCCTCACCTAGGTCCTGCAAAACATAGGAAAATAACGGGGTGAACACTAAAATAATGCTCAGTAAGTAAATCCTCTACTCATGCTATCCCCGTAACTCTCTCTCTAATTCTTTCCTTACAACTTCTCATTCAATTTCTCTTTGGGTACTTCTTTCTTTCTCTTTCTCTTAGAACTCTTTTCTAATAACTCTCTCATAAGTCACGGCCCCATCTTACCAGAGGCACGGCCGGGACTCGCTCCCACTCTACGTGATCTCTACTCATTCTAGCCGATCGGACTTGGTTATGCATGGATTCGGAACCCTTGGCCATGTGAGTGTATAATCTCTCTCTCGGGTACTCGGGTATAGCCCTCATCCGCATGCACTCTCACGGGCTACACCACTTCTCTATCTGATACTCATGCCGCTCTCTCAATGCGGCGTACATGCGGGAATACTCTACCCATTACTCACGGGTTCCCCATCGCACAACCTACTCTATTCTCTTTCTCTTAACTCTTAAAGAACTTATACTCAAATTCTCTACTAAATCTCAAGCTACTTCTCAAGTGTATAAACAAAGGTGTAGAGCTAGCTCATGCTCCCTAATGCACTAATGAAATGCCAACTACAAGATTTCCTCAAACCCGTCATTCTGCACAGGTCACACTAAAACGGCCATAACTTGCGTTATACACCTCGGATTGCTACGGTTTTGGTCTCGTTTTAAAGCTTAGAAACAGGGCTACAACTTATCTGTTTTGGTCTCAGCCCAGTTCAAAACGTAAGATGCCCAAAAATTACTTAGAAAGTCACGGCAGTGACAGGGCAGATTTCACCTAGGCATTTCATCAAGCAACTCATGTGCATAAAAACACTCTACTAGAATTACTACTATACTTCATTCTCCAGCCATCCAAATTGGGGAAAAACTCCCTCAAATACTCATAATCCCTATCAAGAAAAGCACTCCCAAAAAGCTTCACACAACATCTCTCAAACTTCATCTCAAACTCCATTCTCAATACACATTAAAACACTTCTCATACATGGAATCTATCCAACAACTACAAAAATAGCTACTCATCTCAATTCAATTTCTCATTGATTATACTACATACTGATCATGCATACATCTCTACACAAAAAGCTTGTTTAAAACTCAAGTTGGTTGGATTTACTTACCTTGTGCAAAGATGACTTCTTTAGCACTTTTCCTTCCCTTTGTGGTCTTGTCTCTTCTCTACAACTCAAAACAACCACAAGGACAGCAACAACCAAATAAGACTTCACTACAATTATAAGAAAACTCACATCTAAAGCATGAATCCTTACCTTAGGATGCTTTAGATGAAATCTCTACTCAAAACCCCTCTTAAATCCCTTAGAAATCTTGGAAGATTGGATGGAGAAATTGAGAGAAAATGGGCAAATGGAAGAGGCGGTGGAATGAAGAAAAAAGGGGTTTCTCTACACTTAACCCTTTTTAGTTCATATTATAAGCATCATTTCCCATTTTGCCCTTGCCCTTCCTTAGAAATTCCATTTATATCCTTTGATTCTTTACAAATACACCCCCATCCAAACACAATCTCTACTAAATTTCCTTTC